CCCCCAGGAAGCAAACATCACACCCATCCGCATCTGTCGTTTACTTGCTAAATGATTGTTCGGTTTTTATTTATTTATTTTGGGGGGCAAAGAATTTTCTTCTCCTCCTCCTGATTCAAAGGCGAGAGAGGGCGGTGCGGAAAAGAGGCAGAAGTTGATTGCAAAAAGAAAAAGAAAAAAAAGACTTTCCTGTCGAGGGGGTGGAAGGAAAGCGCAGGGTCTCACTCGGATGAACAAGGTGAGAAATATGGGGAGGGGGCGAGCTCGATAGATGTCAGAGAGGGTCTTCTTCCCCCCCCCCCGCCCCCAGCTCTTTTGTCTTGCGGATTGAGGAGGGCTCGCGACCTGGCCGCGAACAATTTCGCCCTGGAGTCTCACTGTTCCCCCTAAGCTGAGTTCGTGTGAGCCGGCTCACAGGTTGTTTGTTTTTTAGCCCCCGGCCCACACTCTTTTTGGTCTCCGCCCGGGAAGGAGGGCTCCAGAGCGAACTCACTTACGCAGCGGCTCAGTCGCTTCCTCCCAGCTTTCATGCCCGGAGCTGACCGAGTACCGTTCTTGCTCACGGGACTCCACAGCTTCGAGGGAGCCTTGGCGCGCCCTTGAGGATGTCGAGTGAGATCTGGGGGAGGGGGAGGCGTGGGGAGAGAGCCCCACCTTTCCCTGAGCATCTGTTGAGCGCACCCGTGGTGGAGGGAGCGAGACTCAGGTGAGAGCCAGCCCTTCCCAGGGAGGGGAACCGGGGACTTGGGTGAGAGGGTCCAGAGGAAGGGATCGGCCCCTGCTTCTCACCCCGGGGTGGGGGTGGGGCAGGTGGGAGGCATGCATGCCGCTCCTCTCCCCCCGGGCGTCCTCTCCGCACCCAACCTGCCCCCCATGGAGACGGCCGGACCCTTCTGAGACAAAGAATGACTTTCCCTGAGCAGATCAATGGCAGCTCGTGTCGGAACTACACGGGGGAGCCCGAGGGCACCAACGGCTCGTGGGCGGGCGAGGGGGCCAACGGCACTGCCGCCCAGGCCGCCAACCTGGACCTGTCCTCGGTGGGCGTGGGGGTCTTCCTGGCCCTCTTCATCCTCTCGGCCATCGTCGGCAACCTCCTGGTCATCCTCTCAGTGGCCTGCAACCGCCACCTGCAGACGGTGACCAACTACTTCATCATCAACCTGGCCATCGCCGACCTCCTCCTCAGCACCACCGTCCTGCCCTTCTCGGCCACCCTAGACGTGCTGGGCTTCTGGGCCTTCGGGCGGGTCTTCTGCGACATCTGGGCCGCCGTCGACGTCCTCTGCTGCACGGCCTCCATCATGAGCCTCTGCATCATCTCGGTGGACCGCTACATCGGGGTCAAGCACTCCCTCAAGTACCCCACCATCATGACGGAGAAGAAGGCCGGCGTCATCCTGGTGGTGGTCTGGCTCCTCTCCGTGGTCATCTCCGTCGGGCCCCTCCTGGGCTGGAAGGAGCCCCGGCCCCAGGAGGCCTACGTCTGCACCATCACCGAGGAGCCCGGCTACGCCATCTTCTCCTCCCTCTTCTCCTTCTACCTGCCCCTCATGGTCATCCTGGTGATGTACTTCAACATCTACGTGGTGGCCCGGAGGACCACCAAGAGCCTGGAGGCCGGCGTCAAGAAGGAGCGGGGCAAGTCCATGGAGGTGGTCCTCCGCATCCACTGCCGGAGCGTGCTGGAGGACTCCCTCGCCAGCGCCAAGGGCAAAGGGCACACCTTCCGCAGCTCCCTCTCCGTCCGCCTCCTCAAGTTCTCCCGGGAGAAGAAGGCGGCCAAGACGCTCGCCATCGTTGTCGGGGTCTTCGTCCTCTGCTGGCTGCCCTTCTTTTTTGTACTGCCTTTCGGTAAGTGGGGGGGGGATCTGGGCCTCGCCGTGCGAGGTTCACGGCTGGGGAGGAGGGGGTTCTTTGTGTCACAGAGGCGGTGCTCCCTCTAAGTCGAGTCAGTGTGAGCCGGCTCACAGTTTCTTAGCCTCCGGCTCACACGTTCTTGTCTTCGTTCCGGAAGGATGGCTCCAGAGCAGTGTTCCCTCTAAGCTGAGTCAGTGTGAGCCGGCTCACAGTTTCTTAGCCTCCAGCTCACACGTTTTTGTCTGAGCTCCGGAAGAATGGCTCCAGAGCAGTGTTCCCTCTAAGCCGAGTCAGTGTGAGCTGGCGCACAGTTTTTTTAGCCTCCGGCTCACACGTTCTTGTCTTCGCTCAGGAAGGATGGCTCCAGAGCAGTGTTCCCTCTAAGCCGAGTCAGTGTGAGCTGGAGCACAGTTTCTTAGCCTCCGTCTCACATGTTCTTGTCTTCGCTCCGGAAGGATGGCTCCAGAGCAGTGTTCCCTCTAAGCCGAGTCAGTGTGAGCTGACGCACAGTTTTTTTTAGCCTCCGGCTCACACGTTTTTGTCTTAGCTCAGGAAGGATGGCTCCAGAGTAGTGTTCCCTCTAAGCTGAGTTAGTGTGAGCTGGCTCACAGTTTCTTAGCCTCCGGCTCACACGTTTTTGTCTTCGCTCAGGAAGGATGGCTCCAGAACCAGTGTTCCCTCTGAGCTGAATTAGTGTGAGCTGGCTCACAATTTCTTAGCCTCCGGCTCACATATTTTTGTCTTAGCTCAGGAAGGATAGCTCCAGAGCAGTGTTCCCTCTATGCTGAGTTAGTGTGAGCAAGCTCACAGTTTCTTAGCCTCCAGCTCACACGTTCTTGTCTTCGCTCAGGAAGGATGGCTCCAGAAGCAGTATTCCCTCTAAGCTGAGTTAGTGCGAGGTGGCTCACAGTTTCTTAGCCTCCAGTTCGCACGTTTTTTTCTTCGCTCAGGAAGGATGGCTCCAGAACAGTGTTCTCTCTAAGCGGAGTCAGTGTGAGCCGGCTCACATCTTTTTAGCCTCCGGCTCACACGTTTTTGTCTTGGCTCGGGAAGGAGGGGCTCCAGAGCAAATTAATTGATGCAGCAGCCAAATCACCTGCCTGCTCACCACTTTAATGCCAGTCGCTCACAAAGTAGAATCTTTGCTCACAGGACTCTTCCACAGCTTAGAGGGAGCATCGCTCACATGTTTGTCATTGGCTTCAGGTTCCGCTTTGCACCATTGGGTTTGTCGATCTGTTTTGTTTTGTTTTTTATTGTGTACTCATCTTGAACGAGGAAGAACTTCCTGATGGTTATAGAATCATACAACCACAGAATAGTAGCGTTGGAAGGGGGCATAGAGGCCATCTAGTCTGACTCCCCGCTCAATGCAGGATCACCCTAGGGCAGTGATGGCGAACCTTTTAGAGACCGAGTGCCCAAACTGTGACCCAAAACCCACTTATTTATCGCAAAGTGCCAACACGGCCATTTAACCTGAATGCTGAGGTTTTACTTTAGAAAAAACAACCCATACGTTAACTTAAGATGATCCAAACAAAGTAAGGAACGCAATCCCAAATGCTTTCATTTACTTAAAATTATTTGGCAGAGAATTCGACACTTTAATGATGGTCTGGGCCTGGCTGGGGCAATGGCACGCGTGCCCACAGAGAGGGCTCTGAGTGCCACCTCTGGCACCCATGCCATAGGTTCGCCACCACTGGCCTAGAGCATCCCGGACAACTGTTTGTCCTGACACTGCTTAAAGACTTCCAGAGAGGGGGAGCTCACCACCTCCCGAGGCAGCCGATTCCACTGTTGCACAACTCTGACTGTAAAAGTTAGAGCGGTTTCTCAGTGGAACAGGCTTCCTCGGGAGGTGGGTGGGCTCTCCTTCTTTGGAGGTCTTTAGGCAGAGGCTTGATGGCCGTCCGACAGCCGTGTGAACTGAGGCAGAGCATGAGAAAGGAGGGCAGGAAGGGTTGCCTCAGGGCTTAGTTCTCATGGCCCTTTCTTACACGCCCAGGGAAATGCTGATCGCCACTTTGGGGTCAGGAAATTTTTTTCCTCCAGGCCAGATAGGACCCAGGGACTTGGGAGATTTTTTACCTTCCTCTGGGCATACAGTGGGGGGGTCACTGGGGGGTTTTGTGAATTCCCTGCACTGTGCAGGGGGTTGGACTAGATGACCCTGGAGGTCCCTTCCAGCTCTATGTTTCTACGTTTCCCGTGCAATTCGTTCTGCATTTATATGTACAGAGTGTGTCATTGATACCAGTGACATGAGTCTAATGTCCAGTACTGATGGATGGATGAATGGATGATGCACAACCAATGTTAGGGGGAAATGTGTATTTTTTACAGGGGAAAGCCTGGTGGGAGGGAAACAGAAAATGGCACGCCGAGTATCTCGCGTTCGATTCACACCAGCAGAGTCGAGCTCGGGAACTGGGGGTGGAAGCAGCGGGGGCCAAGACATTCAAACAAATCATCCCTAGTTCATGTTTCGATATGTAAACAGCTGTTTCTCATCAAGGTGGATCATAGAATCACAAAGAGTTGGAAGGAGTCCTGCGGGCCATCTAGTCTGGCCCACGGCTCATTGCAGGATCAGCCTAGAGCAGTGATGGCAAACCTTTTAGAGACCGAGGGCCCAGACAGTGACCCAAAACAAGCATGGACAGCTTCCAAAGGGAATTAGATAGGCATATGGAGCAGAGGTCCATCAGTGGCTATGAGCCACAAGGTATAGATAGGAACTCTCAGCCTGGGGCCAGTGATGCTCTGTATTCTTGGTGCTTGGGGGGGGGCAACAGTGGGAGGGCTTCTAGTGCCCTGGCCCCACTGGTGGACCTCCTGATGGCACCTGGTATTTCTGGCCACTGTGTGACACAGAGTGTTGGACTGGATGGGCCTTTGGCCTGATCCAACATTGGCTTCTCTTATGTTCCTATATGAAGCAGAGGTCCATCAGGGGCTATTAGCTACAAGGCATAGATAGGAACTCTCAGCCTGGGGCCAGTGATGCTCTGTATTCTTGGTGCTTGGGGGGGGGGTAAACAGGGGGAGGGCTTCTAGT